GAGATTAATTTATTTAAATATCAATGAGGTCTTATCCAAAAAATCGACACTATGAATTTAAAGATGATCCCAATCTTCAAATACCTCCATTCATACCTTAGCTGGTAACTAAACCGCCAAGGTGCATTGTACCTATCTTTCCAACTGTCTTCTATTGTTGGAATAACCAATACTATGCCATGTTCAAAAGCCAAAAGTAAATTTAGTATATTCTTTTGAGAAGATAGGACCCAAGGCAAAATCCCCACAGTCACTCAAACGATTGTTTTTCTTTTTTTATTTTTTCAAACAAGAGAAATTTTGAGTGAAGGAAGAAATATTAAAACTGTTTTAATAAAAACTTAAACTTTAGTATGGGACATGATATTTGATGCACATTACTAACCCATCAAGACTGTTAGTGCAAAAAATTGTGTTTTAAACCTAAAGTCATTGGGAATATTTAGAATATTGCCCAAGTTTATAGAATTTACTGTTACATTAAAAAGAAAAAGGGAAAAAAAAAAAAAAAAAAATCAAGTCATCAGTATTTTGGGCAGTCTGAGGTTAGCAGGAAAGGAATAAGGATAAGAAAGCTGAATTCTGAAGTAGTTTGATAAGAAGTCTGAAATTTGATGGGCACTAAAATTGCCACCGCTTTTTGCAGGTAGGCCTAAACCTCATCGTTTCTGATCCTGATAATCTTTAATATTTTTGTGCCCACAGGTTAGAGGTTGGGCCTTAACAACCTCCTTTTGCTATGAATTGCTCTTATGTTCAGGACCCGCATGAAATTTGACATTTTCTTTGGAGATTACAAAATAAAGAAGCCGTCCAGCTAGACCTTCAAATCATAGTTTCATCTGTTTTTATTATACTGCCATTTTGAAAAAGGGGGAGATATGAAAAGAAACTATTCATGACCCAAGCTTTCATAACTCCAGGTTTCTATCTTGTAAAAGAACTAATCGGATTGCATGTAAAATTTGTCTCATAAGAGGTATAAAACACAATAAAACGATGAAAGATAGGGGGAAAATATATTGTACACATGTGTATCATAAGAAAATGATATTCTATCTTGGATAATTCACAGGAGGTTCCAGGCTACCAACCAAAATTCCAAGATCAATGTCTGTCTTCAAACTTTTTGATGAAAGGGTGATTCTGCAAGAACAAGAAGTGACAGTCAGGTTTTTGACCATTTTCCTTTTTCATATAAAGGGTTGAGTATCTAAATAAAGTGTCATATGCCATCTTAATCCTGCCAAGAGGTCCAAGGATGATGCTCTATCTCGGGGGTTCTTCTGTACACTGTACATGCAAAGGGAAAAAGGCTATCAGGAATACTATTTGTAGGACAGATAAGAAGAGATACAAGAAAAGAATACATTGGAACATGAAATGATTTAAGTTTCCTAAGCTAGTAGTCTAGTTAAGGGAAAATTTAAACCAAAAGAACAATTTGGTCGTCTCCTCAAAGAGTGTAATGAAAATGAAAAATGATAATGTGGGGCATTACCAGGCAGATACAAATGAACAGAACTCTGGGGAGAACTGATATGGTGGAGCAGATGGTGGTGGACTTCTTACAATTGCATCCAAAAGCTCACAAAAACTTGGCCAGTTTTGTTGATCTTCAGAGATTGCATATAAGGAAAACGACCAATGGCACACTCGACTACTACCATACCCAAACTCCAGATGTCACTGCTATAGTCATATTTTTCCCCACTAATTCTCTCTGGCTGCAGATGGGGAAATTAATTACATTTAAATTTTGCTTCAATTCTTAGGGTGTACATGAGTGGAAATTAATGGAACAAGTGAAAGATCATGGTGCTCACTACAGCAAAGAGTAAAATGAAATGGCAGACAAATGCAGCATTACAAAATGACTTTCAACAGCGTAGAAGGTCAAGCGTACCGACATGTAGTTGTATGTTCCAACGAATGAAGATCATTTTTACCAATATAATGACCTTCAAAGCGAATAAACTTCCAACCCATTTACGCCGAACAAGTTGTACCACACCACCACTCCCCTTCCCAATGACTTTTATTGTCTCAAGATCTTCCAAAGAAATGTCAAAATCAAGCTCCTTTCGGTCAGAAGGCTGCTCAAATGACAAGAAAGAATTATTGCCTAGGATTTACTATTAGCATCTAAACTTGGACTAAACTAAGAAAAGCATAAGGTAAAGCAAGGGAAACACACGCCAGTGGACCGTGGAAGAATAAGGGAGCACCGGATCATCATTTCTCAAATGTTAGCACCGAAAACACATTAAGCACAACTCAACTCCAAAGCCAGAGAATATTTTTGTGACTTTTTCTAATGTGAGGTAAATCACCATAAGTGAACTGACCAACCATAACTCCAGAAATAAGTACAAATGAAAGAATAGCCATTTCAGCAATTATTTCAATTGTCTATTAAATGCCTTAGTACAGATGGCTAGATCAATGCTGCAAGTAGAATACTTAAAACAGTAGATTTAACATAATATGTGCTCCAGAACGGTATCAAGGTACTTAGAACAATGTAATGACAATATAGGTCTCATGCATATGCATCAATATGAATATAAATAATTAGTGCCGCAGGAGAAATCTCGATGCTCTCAAGATCAAGGGATTCTTTCTAATTCCAGATAAAGCGACGATATGAGTCGTTAAAGTACTATAAATTCAAACGAAGCCGACCGCGCAAAAGAATGCACGAATTTGGTATTTTCGTTTGGGTAAAGACGCAAGAAAACGGTAAAGAATACTTCGTGGGCGGTGGATGTTTTAGACTTTTAGGTCGGAAAGGTGCGAAAATTGGGTCTCTTTTTGAAAATTGAACCCAAAGAAAGGGTCTTTGCAAAATACGGCCCCAGTAAAATTTCAATCCAGTTTTATTTAAGCTGGCCTGAGTCCAAAAAATATTGAGAAACTCCACTGTTCCCAGTTCCCACGATCTATTAAAGACGACAAATAATAACAGTATGACTGAGTCCGAATCCATAAGTTAAGAGGAATTTTTTTTTTTAATTGCATAATAGAAATCAATTTTTTTTAATTTTATTTATATATTATATGTTTTAAATTTAAAATTTTTTATTTTTATTTTTAAAAATTATTACTTAATTATTTAATTTGTTGACTTTAAGAATAAAATATAAGTACTTATAATTTTAAACAACGAACTTTCAAAATTAAAAAAAAATCTATTTATTCCCTTAAAAAACAAAAAAAAAAATCTGTTTAAGACCGGGTGAAATAAGAAAAACATATTTAACCATAAGGAGATTATTAAAAGCTTTTTCAAATGGAACTCAAAAAATTAACACTTTTGGTTGGATCGAAGCATGGAAGGATTATACAGGAAAACGGACTTCTCGATGAGTGGAATCCAAAGTTCCAAACGCTTCTCTCTCCTTTTTTTTTCTTAAAATAAATTTATTCATTAATATTATAGGACTACAAGTTAATTATTACAAAATAACACATAAAAAATATTACAAAGTTTATTTATTTTTTAACAAGTAAAATTTAGGGCAGAGGAATAGGGAATAGCATGGCATTACAATACCTTAAATCTTAATCGTTATTAAGACATTAAATATATCTAATATCTAACATATGAAATTTAATGCCTATAAAATTTAATCTTAAAAATATAAAACACTTAATAAATTTTTTATTTCTTTGAACATGAGAAATTTTAAAGAATGAGAATAATTTAACTATTATTACAGTATATAAAAATCTAACATTTGTTAAAAATTTAATGCTTTTAGGCACCTAAAGCTACAAATGCACACTTAAAGAAACATATAATAATAAAATAATTTAATAAATATACAAATATTATAACTAAATTTGGACAATAACTATAGGAGTTAGTATTTGTCTATTTTATATTAAAAAATTAAGAACAAAAGAATAAAAAATATCATAATTCATGCTTTAAAAATAAAATATTTTAATATTTTTTAATAAATATTTATTAAAATGACATAATTTTAGATTAATATTCCTCTTAAATTTTTAGAAGTAATACAGATAAATACAAGTCACATAACTATAATAAAATAATACTTACATCCTTAAAGCCAATAATTATAAATAAACTTGTAAAAGTATATTTCTAATTTAAAAATTGAGATTTGAATCCTCTCACTTTAATTGTAAACTTGTTAAAAAAATAATTATAATAAAATAATTTAATAAATACATAAATAACATACCTAACTCA